AAAAAAAAACCTTGCATATACATATATACAAGAAAAAGAACAGTTAGTGTTTTAGAAATAGAAATAGATTTTAGGACTGTAACAGTAATTATGAAGTGCGTATACCTGTTCAGCTGGTTTTTCCCCATACTCCACTGTGTTGTACATAGCTTTAATGTTCAGACATTTTAATTTTGACGGTGATACTTGCACAGGATTACTGTTGTAGTGGTGTTACTAAATGTTCATTGCTCAGAATACATTTGGGTCTCCCATTGTTTCCTTGTTATCTTTCTTCTAGGCTTCCTATTGTCTACTTTTTTTCCTTCTCATTGAGTACCATTTTTAAGCCAATAAACTTTTGTTTCAACTTCGGTTAGAAGGCTAATCTTAGGATTTGTTTTTTTTTTTTTGTGTACGACAATACTTATCCATAATTGAGCTAAATTGTACCACTTGTGGGAACTTTTCTCTCTTCATATTTCTATTTTAATTGTTAACATTGTAATCGATCTGTGGAACAGTAGAAAATAAAAAACCGAAAACAAATCTGCCTGTTTGCCAAGTGCATTTGTTTTTGGTTCAAATCCATCAATTAGTATTTGTTCACTGCTGTTCTATCGATATCAAAAATCGACATTTTAGAAATCATCTGATTTTTTTTTTTTGCACAACTATTAGCTGCATTTTAGGGTAATGAAATTAAATGAAAACAAACGTTTATTATCGCTTGTATTGTTAAAGTTTTGATCATAGGAAAAAATAAATTCAAATTTTTGCTAATTTTCCACTTTGTCTTCTCTTCCAAAGAAGAAAAAAGTACTTTGCTATTTTTTTTTTGTATGACTGTATACACTTTCGGCGTTTGCAGTTATTCTTTCTTCTGAAAGTTTACTTCGTTATAAATACTCCTCCCACCCGCCACCCCCCTATCGTCTCACTATATACCCATATGCGCAGAAATTTTTGTACTTTTTATAAACAGGGTAAATGGGAGACGATGACGGCAGCAACAAGAAAAAAAGACGATAAAATAGACGAGGAGAATGCCCAAAGAAAGCAGCAGGTGGAAGAAAATGAAGAGTGAAGAGAGAAGAGGAGAAAGAGGGAAAGAGAACGAAAATTGGTCCTGTTTAGTCAGTAATGCAGTTTTCAAAAATTTTTTTTTCTTCTTCTTTGGTCTATTGCTGCATACAGAATAGTAAATTGGCATATAGCAGTGTTCTGACATTTTTCACATATAAGCCGCATAGTTTGCTTTCTAATCAAACAGTTCCAACGATCTTTGGTAACGTTTTTTGTTTGTTGTTTGTCATAGACATTTACTACTGCTAATCGTCGTCACCTATAGTGGTATATGTAACTATTCAGATTTTTTTTTCCTTCTGCTCGTACTGTTGCTGCTGCTGTTGTTGCTGCTGCTGCTGCTACCGTTGTTACTGGTGCTGTTATTGCCTTCGTGGTTGCTGTTGTTGCTGTTGTAGTTGCCGCCC